ATAAGATAAGAACTAATAAGTTTTTATTTTGTCATTGAACATAATATCATTTAAATCAATAATTTAAAATAAACATTTAAATGCTACTTAATTATCCTTTTAAAATTTTACAAATTTATCACAAAAACAGTTTACTTTAAACATTACTTTTATATTTAGATAGTTAAAAAAGTATTATATCCTATTAAAATTATTACAACAACAAGTTATCCCCATGCTTGAGTCTTACAATAATGTAAAACTAATTTTCCTTCTGTACTATAGCAGTCATACAAATTTCGTACTGTTTGATCTGGAGAAGGAGCAAACGTCTGATTTATGTAGAGAAACTAAAACATACTACTTTTTTATATTCAATTTAACTTATTTCTGATAAAAACCACACCAATTGTTCCTCAGAGTCTAACTTCAAATACTTCTTTACAAATTCAATAATCCATCCTAGTTGTTTATCAGCATCAACCGTCCACTTTTTCTTTTTCATAATTGGTGCATTTCCAGTCGGTTTCAGTAGAATATCAACTAAAATAGTTTTGCAAACTTCAATTTTCAAAAATTTACAACATAACCTTACCTTACCTTTTTGTTTTGAGTCATTTTTTGATAGGCTTTGCGTTTCTGAATTTGCATCACTAACTGAATCACTTGCAGTTCCTTCACTCATTTTTAAATTTTAATTTAATTACCATCTAGCATTTGTTCTGTAATTTTTGTTGCTATTGATTATCAACATGCAATGAGTATGTACATGCTGTCCCACTTAAAAAGCAAAGGCAGAGGAAAATGTTGAGACATACTGTATATTCATACAAAAACCAAGAAACTAATAAAATTTATCTGTATTATTTAAACTTTAAATCAAAAATTATACATTAAATATCAACATAATACAATACACACATTTTTCTAAAATATATCAGAGCCTGTTTGACGAGCTTTCAAAGTTGCTTCCTCTGATGTTAACTTTTCCTCTGGTGATGGTTCTTTAGGAGTCCCATCCTCATTTAATTTTCCTCCTTTAAAATCTCCAATAATTTTTTTAGCATATACTACATTAAATAAATCTTCTGCAGTGAATTCTGACTGTATTATATCTGGAGCTCTGTATGAAACATAGGGCTTCAACTAAAAAATAGATGTTATCAGTAAACGATTTTACAATATAATATTTAAAATTACTTTAAAATCAGTCAGATCAGGTACAATCAATTCAGGAATCATTTCTGGTACTTTTATAAATTTGCCATTTAATTTATATCCAGTATCTCGAACACCGCGTTCTAAAAATATGACAAATAATTAAATATTAGCTGTACATATGCATAGCACTAAATATTGGCTTACTATCTACAGGAACCTCAGGATCTGGGTTTGTCCTCTGCTGCTCTTTAAATATCCTAGAACCCCTTTTATTGTAAATTGGAAATTTCCTGAAATTCCTTTTTCCTTCCCTTACTGCAGTTGTTGATAAACCCCTAGTAATAGTTATTTTAATAAAAGACATTACAATAAAGTTTTTATTTCTTTTTGAATTGTTTTGTTCTTTGGTTAAAAACTGAGGTTAACAGTAAAATTTGAGGTTATGGTTATAATGATGTTATGATAATGGATGTGGCTATGATGCATCTAGCATATGAAAATCTGCAATTGTGGTTGCAAAATGCAATGAAGTAAGCTAGGGAATCAAGTCTGAAATTCAAATGGTTTAATTTGTGTATTAATTATTCAGTTTTGATTAAAATTCATCATTGATACGATTGATACCTATTGATTGATAGTATGCTGATGAAGCAAATTTGAAATCATAGATTGATAACTTCGGTAAAAGAAACTACGGTAGATTGACAGTAGCGCTCCAATTGGAATTCCTCGAAAGCAAATTTATTAACGACGGTGCTTTGATGCTCAAAATGAGTATTGTGTACGGTAGCTTGTTTCAAAAAGATTTGAATTAACCATCCAAACTTTAGAACGATATTTTCTAAAATATAAGTGTTGTGGGTGAACAGTGATTTTATAAAAACATTCGTTAGAATGGTATTATCCGCAAAAACTGGAGAGGATACACGCAACGGTCGGCGAAGTCGGGGGCCCAGTCCTAATGGGCATGCACAAGCTGACTCAAGCGACGATGAAAATACTGGTAATTGTATAACACCTTTTTAAAGATTTTTTCTGCATTAGTATTTGATGCTCCAAATTTAGTAATTGGATACTATAATTTTTTAAAGTTTGTACTAGAAAATAAAAGGGCATACCTTTCTTCTGAGGTATTTATTAAGTGGGGTTAGTTTACGTTAAGTCTATTTTCAGTGCCAGTCGATAAAATACGCGTTGGAAGAGATTATCAAGCTGTATGCCCAGAAATAATTCCAGAGCCTCTCAGGAAACCGGAATTGGTAGCTGATAGGGCACTCCTGGTTTGGTCTCCAACAACAGATATTCCTGATTCAAAGTGTAAGTTCTGCCTTTTATGTGATAGAAGGTGTTCAGAAATGTTTTAATAGCCACAATTACAGTGGAGGACTACATCACATTAGCCAAAGAAAAGTATGGATACAATGGAGAACAAGCTTTGGGGATGCTATTTTGGCATAAGCATGATCTTGAAAGAGCAGTGTTAGATTTGGCCAATTTTACCCCATTTCCAGATGAGTGGTCTGTTGAAGACAAGGTACTCTTTGAACAGGCATTTCAATTTCATGGGAAAAGTTTTCATCGAATTAGGCAAATGGTAAATATAATAAGAAATTGCCCTGTTTGCTTATTTTAATCATTTGAATTTATTGTCTTCATTGAAGTTATTTTGGTTTTAGTTACCAGATAAAAGTATTGCCAGTTTGGTAAAATATTATTATAGTTGGAAAAAAACAAGATCAAGAACCAGTCTGATGGACAAACAGGCTCGAAAACTGTCCACTCCGAGGGAAGATGGTGCCCCTTCTGAGGCTGGCTCAGAAGGTGGCTCCAATGAAGAATCTGATCATGAAGAAAAGGTGAGTTACATTAGATATTACTACCATGTTTTATGTTTTGGGTGTCTCTGTCACAGGATTGTTTTATTTATCTGTCTTCTGTTGTTTCTTGTAATTGAATTTTTTATTTATCATCATTGTTGTTGCTGTTTTAAGTGATTGGTAATAGGTATTTTGCATGGATTTTTCATACATTACATCCACACTCGTTGGCAGTTTTCTTTGTGAATGTTTTACTCATTTGGTTTAAGTAATTTTTTCTTGTTTTATTTATGTCTCCAAAATGTTCATTTGAGTTCTTCATAAGGGTATATTTTTAAACCTATTTAGAGTTCATGTTATCAATGATTGAGATACAAGTCTATGAAATTTAATAATTAATTTGATAAGTTTTTTTACTAATAATGGAAAAAATAAAACTAAATGTTTCGTAGTTAGAATGAGAGGAAGTCTACATATACTTTAAGTGGTTAGTTCTTTTGAGAAAGAACTAGCCACCATTGAAACTGTGAAACATTCAAAAGAGTTTTCAGTTTTATATTATTATTCTAAAAATGTTTCATTTGTGTGTCACCAAACAATCTATTTCTTTTATATTTTTTTTACTGATATCCTGAAAGTAATTGCCTTGGTAAAAAAAATAAAATTAAGATTAAACTCACTGTTACAGTGTGACACTTTCATACCTCTACTACCCTTGGTCCTTAAAAGTTTTGGTAAATGAATTTGATTTCTACTACAATGGGATATAATTTTTAATCATGATGGTGCTACTGTTGGCTTGTAATGTTAATCGTGATTTTGATCATGATTTTCATCAGTAGATGTGTGTAGTTTGACTTCAGGTATCTTATTAGCCTAAAAGGGGGCTTATTGTAATTAAATATTTGGTACTTTTTTAAGATTATAGTAGACGAGTAACTAGTATGGCGCCAAATAAATTTTATCACATACATGAATAAATAAATATTATGTACGTGTTGTTATGATGTCGTGGTGTAAGAACGTGATTGTATGTATTGCAGAAGTGGAATGTTCATCGCGGTATACGCCGCTCAAGCGGTTCCCCACCGCGTACCAAATCTAGCGACGAAAATGGGAAACAGGTATCGCAAATTAAAATAAAACAAAAATAGAATACACCCTGTACATAACGTATAATACAATGTGCAAATATTCTCATAATATTGAATGAAGCATGATCGAAACAAGTTACTTAAACTACTTTAACAACTTTATATCCCTGAAATTAGGTAATTATATATCTGAACACAACATTATCCAAAGTAAGAAATAATACTTACTTGGGTTTTTGTAGATTTTATCAATGATATTAGGCCTATTCATGTTTATTTTGTCATAACTATACAAGAAAAATCAAATGAACTTTTATAGAACCAAAATTAATAAAACACTATAACAAAAAATTTCACTCAAAACTGGGCATCGAAACTCATATAAGACTTCTAAAAGTTTTGTGTGGAGTTTTGCATTATGGTGTTTTATTTATACATATATCTTATATTGATTGATTCTACTTGTACTTGATGGAAGTTTACTTTACCGTTTAAATAAAACACTAAACCTCTGAACTTCTGAAGAATTATAAAGTAGCGAAACGGTCGTCAAGAGAATAAAAGTATGAGGAAGTTTAAGTGGTGTTTTATTCATCATAATTATATCAATAATTACAATCAGCCATAAGGTATAAGCTGCTTCTATGTGTATACTAAAGTATATATTAAATGATTGGCTTGTGGACATGTTTAAAAATCTTCTTTTCAGTCTAGTAATTATTGCCTTTAATAAAGGGACCATCTTACATTTTTTTTATTGGCGTTCTATTCCAAACTTCTGTATATTATTTTACTTTAACTTCTTTAAAGATACTTACGTATTTCTTTCGAAATATGATTTAAAAAAATGGATTCGAATTATTGAAGAAATCTGTTTCGATCATGCCTTCTTCTACTTCACTCCACGCTTCTAGTTTAATCAATTTCTGTTTTTAGTAGACACCAAACTTCTATCGTTAGTATATCTATACATTTCAATACAAATACCAAGGTGTGCCTTGTAATTATTTTTTATTTCATTTTATTTCTTGAAAAGTGATAGTTCATTTTATGCTTATTCTGTTGCTTGATTCCTTCATTATTTTTTTCTTTAACATTTCTGCCCTTGTTAACGTGGAAATAGGCATTTTGTCATTATTTGGGTTCTTTACTTATAAAAAAAAAACAGTGCACAACACTTTACATTCCTTATGTGGTGTTATATCTACAATGTTCTTTTTCAGTTCTATTTCAGCTAGTAGCTCTCTCCTGTTTAAATATAATTATTTTTACATCTTTGTTATGATAAGCAGGGCACATCTTTCAATGTTTCTGTTCAAAATCAAATGGTTGAGTCAAATCGATCATCTCACAAATAAAAATTAAACACTATGTACATTTCACTGTACAATAGATGAAGGCATATTGGTTTTAATATTTCTTACGGTTTTGAATAATTATACAATTAGGGATATGTACCATTTTATTTTGGACTGTACGAGTGAACTAAATATCTTTTTTTTAATTAAATTAATTAAATGGGGCCAAGGAAATTAAACTTTTATCCTAATATTCTACAGTAACGGATGCATTTCTTCTTAAGATACTTTAATAAACTTTTATCAAATGAACTAAAGATGTAGAGTTCACTGTAGATTAAAATATATTAAAAATTTTGATCTGATTCTGATCAGCCTTTATCATTTATTTCTTCGTGCATGGATGGCATGACTGTATGAACGTATGTGTGTGCAGGGTGAAGGTGGTGCGTGTTCTAACTGCGGAGTCAACTGCACAGTCACTCACACTACCCCAAAGGGCATTATGTGTACGTCATGTTTCCAACATTGGAGGTATGTTGCAATTTAGGTAATAGCAAGTGCGTATATTGGAACAAGTTCTGTACCGTAACCATAAATTATATTTCCTCTTGATTACAATACTGACTATAACACATACAGATACGGTGTAAATTCAAAAGTAAGTTGGAATAGGTTTACAGAATTTGTTTTAATATGCAGTGATGATAATGATAATGGCGACGCTCATGTTATTATTTTCAAATCAATTTTTTTGCTTTTATTTATTCAATTCAATACTATTTTTGTGACTTCTAGTTAGACAGTCTATTCTTATTATATTGCTGGTTAAATGATTTTTTTCATGGTTAGTTTTTTAATGCTGTTTACAAAATTGCGTTCGTCATTATCCGAATCAGAACGAATGGTGAAAAAATTAGAATGTGTTGTTGGATACAGACGTACAGGAACGTTAAGGCCCACATCAGGGCCAACAGGAGGCAAGCGCGGCACCCCCTTGGGGGTGCGGCACAAGCGCAAGCCCCCTCGTGGCATGTACATCAACCACGATGATCTGGCAGCATTCGCAACGGGAAACGCAGGCGCAATAATGTTAAAGGCCATGGACCGAGAAGTGGAGTCACTGCAGCGACAAGTGAGTACATATCGCCGCAATTTAACACTTTATTGCCCCTTCCCTTTCTTCTCACTGTCTTTTTTGTACGCAGCTTTTCGACAACTACCACCGAGCAGTTAATAGTTTTTCCTTTTTTCCTTTCTTTTCAGTGTCTTAAACGTTTTTGCTTTCTTTTTATTTTCTTCATTAATAACAGAATAATGATCGTTGTGTGTTTTGCGTGTGTATGTTAGTATGTTTGCGCGTATTCCAGTTGTTTTTTTTTTTTGTATTGCCTTGGTTAGTTTTACGTTATTTTTTTTAAACATATCTTTAGCTAAAAAAGCCATATAATAAAGATATTTAGTGTTCCATGTTACAAAATGTGTGGTGTCGTATTTTCTTTTCTCTTTTTAGATTTTGTTATAGAAGGTTCGTCATTCATCTTGTATATTTTCAGTTGCAGGTGCTACTTTTAGGAGAACGAATTGATTATATGTACCATTTTTCTTCTAGATTTACATAAGTGTCGCTTACAGGAATCTATTGGTAGATAGATTGATTCAGTTCCCTCGAATGAAATGAAAGAAATATCTTTATTTCTATTGGTTGATGTGATTTATAACATTAAAAACATATATATATATATCATGTTGTTTCTTTAACAAATTTAAATTATATGATTAATATTTAATTGTGATTGGATTATTTTTTAGAGTTAGTAGCATATTTCTGTTTTGTATCGTATGAAAAGAACTGAGGCACTTCTCCATTGTTACAGATCCAACAGAACAAGCAAGTGGTGAGTTCTTTGAAGCGTAAACACTCTGATTCGATTGAGGATCTACGTCCCAACAACGATAATGCCTCCTCCCGCATAAATTCTCGTTGGACGAACGAAGAACTACTGCTCGCTGTCCAAGGAGTACGCAAATACGGTAAGGACTTCAAAAGCATCGCCGAAGTGCTTGGAAACAAGACGGAGCATCACGTACGCACTTTTTTCGTCAACTATCGCAAACGTTACAATCTCGACAACGTCCTTAAGGACTACGAACGAGATAACGGGCCGACGTTGAACGAAGACGGAAACACAGGTACGACAGCCGCGATGGCTACCAACGACGACAAAATCATCGAAGTGATTGACGACGCAAATGAAAATGGTGATGTTATCTGTGTGTCACCGACGCCGAAGAAAGAGACAACCAAAGGCGCCAAGACGACGCCCCCAGCGCTCGTACAAAACGCCAAATGATCAAACGTAAACGTTAATTTATTGGTTGGTTCACGACCTGCACTCTAGTGTAAATAGTCACGTCCAAACGGAATGCAAGATTTTATTATTTGATTTAAATTAATGCATACTTTGTTCACCCCTTTGTACATAATTTAGAAGAAGAAATGCAAGACTTGTACTACTGGATGGAAGTAATTCGTTTGCTCGTTTGGAAAATAAAATTTGAATTAAAACCCTTCTCTTTAACGAATTATTTCCGTCCTAGGCTTACTCCACTAACTTATTTTTCAGGCTTAGGGGTTGGTCTTATGGTCCAATAGAAACTTTGCTTTCAAAAGTGCAATAAAGTAATTAAATTATCGGTTTATACTTTGACATCCCTAAACAGAAAATTTAAGTTTTGGCGGCAGTTCTAATTAGTAACAAATTTTCGTTTCATTTTGGACTAATTCTTTTAAAGGGCCATTTAACCTCTTCATTATGACCATATCACGTATCTACTGATTCTGGTTTGTACGTAGAAAAGGTACGATAAAAAGAACCACGTCAATATTGGTTGCCACGTATACACATTTGTTGGAAATAAAGACAAATTAATATGATGAAGATGTGTGTCTTGGAAATGTATGTATGTCTGGATTAAGGTGACCATTATTTAGGGTATTTTTGAATTTTGATCAGTTTAGTTAGGAATTATGTGGGCGATAGTTCATAAAAACAACAAAATTATCTAGAAGCATGTTCTTCTAGATGATCGCTGTCTGAAAAATCTTGACACTAAAAATATTTTAAACAAGGAAGATCTTAGATGGTAAACATTGTATTCATTATTGTAATGTACATAAGTAACCGTCAGGGGAGAGTTTGTAAAAGATATTATTGTGTCAACTTGGAAGTGTGCTTATTCTAAACAGTTCATATTATGGTAATTTTCTGATTTTGGTATTTAATTTATGTAATTTCTAGGAAAATGCTTTCTTTTCGATTAAACATTTAAATTAGTTCAGAAAATTATATTTTACTCTACTTATAGAGTGGGAGAACCAAAATTCGAATATACTGTAAATAAGGGTTACTTTGGTGTGTGACTGATAGCAGAGAGAGTTATTATCTCGTTCCTGCAAAATGCGACAATCGGGGATGTACCGATTCTCACTACTATATTATTAGATAAATAATAATAAATTACCTAAACAAAAACAATTTTAATCACTTGTCCGATTGCAAAAAGGCATTTCTTGCACACAAATGTAACATAAACTCGCATAATAATAATTTATTATTACAATAAAAAAGTTAATGATAACGATATGATAAATAATTATAGTAATAATAATAATAATATAACAATTCCATACGATATAGTTACGAGTAAATAATATTTTTAATACATACGTTGTAAGTGTAGACTAATTTTGCTGTTTTCTTCATAAGTATTTAAGTTTGTGATGAGTTAAGTGATATTGTAACTCATTTTTCATTCGCCTTGTATTCTATAATTAGATTTTTTTTTAGTTTGCATAAATGATGATGAAAATAAATGTGTAACGTTGTAGTGTATTTATTTTAGCTATCGTAGACATTGTCTTATAGGGTGTGAATATTAAGGATTATAATAAATTTTCTTTCCTAAAATAAAGTTACTTATTTATTAAATGTGTTATTTTATCACTCTTTTCGTATTTTAATAAAGAAAATACTTCTCAAAATAGAAAAAATAGATAAAAATAATTATTAGTGCCTTAAAAATAAAATATACAATCATTAATAAAGAGTTGAAGTGTGGCTTGAAAGTAAAATATACCATATAAATATACTAATGGTTTATAGGTGAGGAAGCTTTTTACCATTACATTTTACTATTAGATTAGGCAGTAATAAAGGAGTCCGGACGATATAGATACCTGTAATGTGACTTAAAGAGCTAAAGTTAAACTACAGCAGTGCAGTATCGATTGTAATTCATGTTATACTCAACTGATGGCAGCACCTTATTTACTTAATTCAATTAATTTTCAAATTGTAATGATCTCTATCATTAAGCGTTAATTATTAAAAGTTTTAGTTTTGGTGAAAGCCGTAGCATAAACATACAGAGGTCACATGTGTCCTAGAGGCCGCACGTTCCCCACTACTGTAAAAAAATAAATTGTGGCTACAAAGGGTGAAGTGTACCCAAATCCCGAAAATTTTTAATATTGTATTGTGTTGTATGGTGGGAATATATCGGATTATAATATATTTTCTTAAACAATCGTCACAAATTTATTAGTCCAAAAAACTGGATGGACACACACTTTCTCTCTTTCGTATCCTGAGTCAATCTTCATATTTCCTAAAAACTATAACAGTCCACACCTCTAACTACATATATGTGAAAAGTAATCACATCTAGGTCTTCCTCGACTTCTCATTATTCCTGTATCTGCATCTCATAATCTGTAACTAGCCCTTCATATCTCAGAAGGTGTTCTCCCATTTTATCTTAATAAATAAATAAAAAAATAATTAAAAGTAATTTATAGTTTTGATTAAGGGTAAAAATATGAAATGTTCAGTAAGGTGAATGAAATGTATCTCACTAAAGCAGAGAAAAAAATATTATGTGCCCAGAATAGGACAAGGGTGGGTAATAAAAATAACAAGAATTGTTTTTTGTTAATTTAATGTACCTATTATATATATTAGATAGTATTTTTTTGAAAGGCAGCCAAACAAAAGCGGACTTATTATTATTTGAATAAGATATCAAATGAAACAACTTATTTTACAGATTCTTAGTATTTTATTTTTAGTCATTCTTATTTATTAGTCTAAAAATGTAGATTAAAAAATACTTCTGTTTTTATCACAGTTAAAATGACTAAACAAAGATTGTTGTGAAGGAGTGCTTATGGTAAAAAAATTGAACTTATTCTGTCTTTTTTATCTTTAAAATTCACAATTGGGCAACATTTTAAAAGTCAATGTTAGTAAGTAAACAACACAAGTACCTACAGCCGTGAATGATTTTATTTCGCGATTTGACGTTTCAATGTAATTACGAAACAATAAGATGTAGTTTTCGATATACAAAAGTACTTTACAAGAATACTTTATCATGAGAGCATCACATTTAAGGATAAGAAAAAACGTACTAGAGATAAACATAAGTTAAATTTTGTTGATACGTAAATTTATATATACAATTCACACATTTACATTAGATGAATAATGGTAATGTATCAACTGATTATAAAGACAACTGAAGGACAATTACTATTTTTTTTACTATCTTATCACTTTATTTATGTAAGAGTACGTATTTTATTCATCTTTAAAATTACGAAGTCTTGACTGCAAATACAAATAAATTGTAATAAGAAGCAATTAAAATAGATAGTAAGGTACATACAGAGCAGTAGTTAGTTTTTCTGTAGTAACAAAAGTCAGGAAATAATTAATCCCAATTGTAATCGATCAATAAATTGCCAACGTTAAAATTATTTGATTATAAAAACCGTACATGATCCGCATTTTCAACAAAATTTTAAGTATTTTATAACAGGTACGGGTTGATTTATTATAATTTTTAGTTACAAAACTAGTAACGTACAGGCCTAACGCTGGAAGCTGGCGGAAATTTTGAAATGGCGAATAACGATTGCAGCCCTCTTTCTTCAGTATTCCTATCAGGGGTGTAGATTAAATCTTTAAAAATAGGGATAAGTGATCAAGTAATAGACAGACAAACAGAAGAACTAATTGTTGATGTTGGTGACAGTTATAGAGATTCCCATGATGACAGTGAATGTAAAAACTAACTATAAAACAAAACTAATAGGTTTATTTTTTCTTTTTGGTAAATTATGTTTCTACATTATTTTCTAGTACGCTACTGTCCTGTCTGTAATAATACTATAATTTACGCCTACTGAAAGCTTATTTGTGTATCGGTTCCAAGTGACTTACCCAAATAGGTCATAAATGCAAGTACCTGCGCGACCGCTCGCCAGCTTCCTTCGTCCGACCTGTACAATATAATGCATCATTATGTATTGGGCTTATCCAACAAGGATATATCTTATGAGCTTATTCTAACTAATACATAGGCTTTTTTGTGATTTTTTGAAGTAAGGAACATTACCAATATTCCTTTGTTCCCATTTAAGGAACTACTGGACTAAAAAACATGAGACTTAATTTTGACTTATGGTACAATCGATCAGTTTTTTTTTTCTAGAAGTGCTTCAGTAGGCATATGTATGTATAATTTAATAAAATTGTGGAAATGTTCATAATTAGAATATATAGGCCGGTTCATTGCAAAAATATTAAAAAGACCATGTTGTTTTAGGGGGGTATAATGATAAAGCAATCGTGGATTAAGTTGGAGGGGGGAGTCAAAAAGTCGCTGAAACATCATCATCAGTCAAAGATACAAATTTTCAACGTTAATCTTGTCTTTGTATTTTTATATTTAGTAAAGTATAATAATTTTGACTCATCATGATAGAAAACATCCTGAACAATTTTAGATGTTTAAGACTAATTGTAGGTACTGTACATACTTGATACATTTTTAATGTCGATTCATTCTACAGTATTACATAATTTTTAATGGCCGTTTTTGATTGACTTCGCAATCAATCATTGAACGCAGAATATTTAAAAAAAAATAGTTATTTATCGGAATAGTCCGATTGGATTAGTTTTTCTAAGGCGTCTGTCGTTACTATCTTCGATATAAATTAGATTCCAATAATTTACAATAAAAATTAAATAAATAAAATTAATTTGTGGGGAAAGTGATTTTCGTTTAAATCGCGTAATGCTCGTAGATTAACAATCCTGGTTTTTATTGAAAATTGAGTTAAATATTCATTGGACGATTTATTATTTGCAGATACTTAGACCTGTGTGTCCAAGCAGGTGACATTATTTCTTCCTTTTGTGGTTTCTACAGACGAATAGATAGTTAAGGAGATAGGCATTAAATATCCATTAATAAATAAGCGGGAATCATTCTCATTATTCTGCCTTTTAAACTATAATGCTCCATGATAATGATTATTGGGCATGTAATTAATCTAGGTGGATGTTTACGTAATTACATTTTATCTTAAAATCTCATATAAGTAAGCTTCTAAAATATAAAATACTTACATTAATTTGTGACAAAAAATGTGTAACGAACGAAGAAGTTCGAATTAGGAGACGTACAACTAGATTTGCAAGCTGTAGAGAGAAAGAACTCTCACTCACGAACCAGCCAGAGGTAAAAAATGAGAGATCTTCAAGTAGAACCAGAGGAGGTAAATCCTTCTAGAAGCAGATATTCGAGCAACAGTATGTACAATAACTAGACGATCAAAATCTTTAAGCAATGATATGGTAACAGTTTAATAACTTTTGGAACAGAGGTCTCGTGGTAAAAGTAAGAGATCTTCAAGTAGAACCAGAAGAAGGAAATCCTTCTAGAAGCAGATATTCATCAACAGAAGAAGAACTAGACGATCAAAATCTTTAAGCAAAGATGGTAACAGTTTAATAACTTTTGGAACAGAGGTCTCGTGGTAAAAGTAAGAGATCTTCAAGTAGAACCAGAAGAAGGAAATCCTTCTAGAAGCAGATATTCATCAACAAAAGAAGAACTAGACGATCAAAATCTTTAAGCAAAGATGGTAACAGTTCAATAACTTTTGGAACAGAGGTCCCGTGGTAAAAGTGAGAGATCTTCAAGTAGAACGATAAGAGATAAATCCTTCTAGGAGCAGATATTTGAGCAACATAGGTACAAGAAATAAACGACCAAAATCTTTAAGCAAAGATGGTAATAGATTTACTAACTTTTGAAACAGAAGTCTCGTGGTAATAGTGAGAGATCTTCCAGTAAAACTAGAAGAGATAAATCCTTCTAGAAGCAGATAATCAAGAACTAGACGATCAAAATCTTTAAGCAAAGATAGCAAAGGGGTTATTAACTTTTAGAATATTTCGATATTGCACTCTAAAAAACAAAGTTGGTGGTGCTCAGTCAGAAATGCAATTTTCTTGTTAATGCCTATTAGTAAATGATCATATGAAATTTGCTACATTTTAGAATTATGTGGATGATGTTTTTATCCACTGTTGATCAATAATTAATTTTTGTGTGTGTGCTTAGTTAGTCGTAGTTTCATACGTAAGTAGTACAAGTTGCGTCAATACATTTCACATAATAGAAAGAGTGTAAGTTGTGTGTTGTTATGTGTGGGCAAGAATGAATTATCTTGAAACAGCCCACGGTAATTTTGTTCAATCTGCTTGAAGGTCTATTGTACAACAACGTCGGTGTTAAGGGTTCAGAGGTTGCAGATCGTAATCGGAAATGTCCGCGAAATGTTATTGTGCTTTACAATATTTCGGTAAAATGCAACGGTTATGGGTTTTTTATTTGCATCTAAACGGGGTCAGGTGTGCCCATTGCCCATATTATACAGGATACATAGTTTTTACATCTGTTGTTGCATTACGTATCTGGTAAAGTTGATCGAACAACGCCGATTGACACTCTATTTATTGGTTTGTAACGTGAAGTAATTATGATTTTTTAAAATATAAATTCGCCACATAAATTCTGCAGAAATTGCGTAAAGAAAAGA